GTGACCCAGTTCTACCTCACAAATCCGCTAGCCTAGAGGACACACATTGGTACAGATAAGAGCTCTTGACACATGGAATTCAGGACAGATAAAACCCTCAGGCACAGTAGTGGGAGTGGAGATATCCTGAGGCTATGGGGATGGTGGTGGTGGCGGGGGAGTCGGGAAGAAAGGTGAAACGCATCACATGGTTGGTTATATAGCCCCCACCCTGAGGGGGGAGAATAACAGAAATGTGGGTGAAGGGAGACAATGGACAATTTAAGGCACAAAATAATAGCAGTCATAGATCATTGATCAAGGATTCAGGATGGTGGGAGGGGGGGAGGGAGAAAGGGGAGCTGATATCAAGGTCTCAACTGGAAAGAAAATGTTTTGTAAATGTTGATGGCAACATATGTACAAGCATGCTTCATCCAGTTGAAGGATGGGTTCTGAGAAGATTTGTAAGAGCCCCTCAATAAAATGATGCATACTTTTTTTAAACTCGTCTAACGAGCGCCACACCGCTTCCACCCCAATGCAACTGTGGCTGGCTGGGCCCCGGTCTCCCTTGTATCACTGTACCCTGCTGCAGGGGCCCTGGTGGTGCAGTGGGTCACATGCTGAGCTGCTGGGTGCACGGTCCACAGCTGCTCACTGGGAGAAAGATGGAGCGGTCTGCTCCTGGAAAGTCCCCAACCCCAAAGGGGTTGATCTACTCCGGCCTCTTCAGGGTCTGTGACTCAGAAGCTTTAGGAACCCTTTCCTCCTCCAGCTCCTGCTCCTCCACTTCCCGCCCTCTTGGATCTGGTCCCAGTGACTTTGCTATGTGGTGTGAGGTATGGCCCAGGCTCATTCTTTTGTATGGGACCGCCCATGAAGCCCCGGTATCATATGCTGATAGCACATCCATCCTCTACTACCTAGTCTTTTCCCCTTCCTCCTTCTACTTTATCGGCTCAATGGGCCATATTTGGGTGGGTCTATCCTGGACTCCATCTACTCCATAGCCTCCATCTAGTCCATTGATCTCGGTATCTTTGAAACCGCAGCTTGGCCGCCCACTTCGTTCCTACCCACAGTGACCCCGAAGAACTGCCTCATGGGGTTCCCAAGGTTGTTGGGCTTTACAGAAGCAGACAGCCTCATTTTTCTCCTGAGCAGCAGCAGGGGGGCTCACATTGCCGATCTAGCATTTCATGGCTGAGCGCTTAAGCACTGCACCACCAGGTCTCCTCCATAGATGCCGGGACCCACTGCTGTCGGCTTGATTCAGAGTCATGGTGAGTGACCCCACAGGAGAGTCTAGAATTGTTCTCTATGGTTCCCGGGGTGTTCAGTTTGTACGGAGCAGACAGACTCCCCTTTCTTCCATGGAGCCCTGGGTGGGTTTGATTCTTGGACCTGCGGCTAATAGCTGAGTGTTTAACCATGAAGCCACCAGAGCTCCTTCAGATCCTCCAAACACCAACACCAAACTCACTGCCATCTGGTGATGCCAATTCATAGTGACCGTGTAAGACAGGGCACAACTGCCCCCATAGACTTCTAACAGTGTAACCCTTTATGGGAGTAAAAAGCCTCATCTTTTCCCCTTTGGGTGGCTGGTGGTTTTGAACTGCTGACCTTGCAGTGAGTAGTCCAATGCATAACCATTACGCCACCAGGGTTCCTAAGCCAAGCACGGTAACTAATGCCCCCTTTCCACAGTGTGGCCATCCTCTCCTACCTGTGCCGAAAGTACAGTGCCCCCTCCCACTGGTACCCACCTGACCTTCACACACGCGCCCGCGTGGATGAGTTCATGGCCTGGCAGCACACGGCCATTCAGCTGCCCATGAGCAAGATGTTGTGGATCAAGGTGAGTAGGGGCACCGAGGCTGCCAGGGCGCTGGCAGCTGTTGGAATGGGACTGGGGCCCAGGAAGGGGCCTAGTCCTTCCTCTCCAGCATGGCTCCCTCAGCTGCCCCCATCCGGCCCCTCCCAGAGTTGTCAGTGCCTACAGACTCCCAACATGGGCAAGAAGGGGTTGTGGTGGATCAACGAGACAGGTCTACAGTTGGAGGCCACCAGTGTCTCTCTGGAAGGAAAGTTAGGCTGTGTATCTATCCCCAAGTCAAGAAACCAGCTAAGCCCGCCAATGGGGCAACTCTACTCTGTCCAGTAGGATCACAATGAGTCAGAGTCTACTCAAGGGGATAGGACCTGGAAAGGATGCTCCAGAGGAGCTTGTATCACTCAAGGTAAGGTAGGTGTGTTGTCTAGAGAAACAAATCCAGTGACACTCATCTTTGGGTAAGAGAGCACTTTATATCAAGAAATAATTATGTATCAAGAAGGCATCCCAACCCAGTCCAACTGAAGTCCCTAAGTCCAATGCTAGTCCATAGATCCCTCTTCAAGCTCACAGTCCCACATGCTGGTGACTCACAATGATGAAACAGGAGGCAGGAAGGTCAGAGGTCAGTGGGTGCAGAGTCATGTGGATCCGAGGTCGGTGAGAACCTGGTAAGTGCAGGGTTGGTAGTTGGCCCACCCGTCGAGGCAGACAGATCTCCGGTGAGCAGAAAGGCAGAGGGGTAAGGAAAGGGTTAATTATCAGAGTCCCCCACTCTTGTACAAAAGGCCACACCCTCAAGGAGGTGTCATCAGCGATCACTTGATTGACAGGCTGCCTCCACTCCAAGCCAGGAGTGTCTAGTTGACATAAAATCAGGAGGTTTCAGGACACTGCATCAGAGCCCAAAGCAAACTAATTCCAGTCGAGCCCATTCCATCTCACAGTGATCCCACAAAGTAGAGTGGAACTACGTGGCTCTCTGTCCTTGTCCCAAAGAGTGCCTGGTGGGTTCAAATGCTGACCTGTGCTTAGCAGCCCAGAGCTTAACCCACTGTGTCACCAGGGATCCTGGGTTCCTTAATAGGCTCATAAAACACACAGCTATGCAGTTGATTCTCACAGCAACATTATTATATAATTTTTTAATAATAGTGGACGGCCTCATTTTTTTTTCCTGCGGAGTGACTGGTGTATTTGAAGCCTCAACCTTGCAGTTAGTAGCTCATGCTTACGTGGCAGGATCACCAGAGCTCCTTACACCCCAAACCCAACTCACTGCCATTGAGTTGATGCTGACTCCTCACACCCCTACAGCACAGAGTAGAACTGTCCTCTGGGTTTCCAAGGATGTAACTCTTCATGGGAGTAGAAAGTGCAGCCTTTCACCTTTGTGTGGCTGGTGGTTTCAATTTGCTTACCTTGTGGTTAGCAGGCCAACAAGTAACCACTACACCTCCAGGGCTCTTACAGAGACCACCAAATCTGAAGATGGCCAACCTACAGTTCATGTAATCCTTTCATCCTGCACCAGTGGCAGACATCACTAATCAATCACCACGTTCTTTGCTCTGTATGGAGTGAGTGGATTTCAAAATCCCTCTGAGCACATGGTCCTAGGCAACATCTCCTAATCAGAAGTACTCAGAGGTGAAACTCCTTTAGAACCTGGTTACCACCCAGCCCCCACCTGGCACACCAGGACACTGAAGTTTGAAAGGGGGTCTGAGGGCCCGGGGTGCACCCAACTCTTCCCTTCTCTCTGCTACTCTGGCCAGCTGCTCATCCCCATGATCACAGGAGAGGAGGTGTCAGCTGAGAAGACAGAGAAGATCCTGGAAGAAGTGAAGACCAACCTTCAGCTCTTTGAGGAGAAGTTCCTAGAAGACAGGCTATTTATCACTGGGGACCATATCTCCCTGGCTGACCTGATAGCTCTGGTGGAGATGATGCAGGTATGGGTAGGTGGGCTCACAGTTGAGGGTGGCCTGGTGATAAGAGGGGGGCAGGCAGGGCCATGGCGGGGACCGAGGGAGCCAGGTATTGGTGCACAGACCCAACCAGGGACTGTGGGAACACACAGGTTTGGAGCCCAGGGAGAACCATGCGTGTCTGATTTTGGCAAAGCTTCCTTAGCCGTGAGGAGAACCTGGGGGCATGCCTGGGGTAGGGAGGAGTGCACCTGTACGTCTTGGTCATTCTGTCAAGAGTCCTGAGAACCTGCTCTCCCTCTGGACTCCATGGAGAGGATCTGTCTGGCCTCACCTTCCACCCACAAGCCCCGACTGACGCCTAGGCAGAGCTCCTCCTACAGCATCATCTGGGCACCGGGGGCATGTACCTGGCAGGCCATTTTCCTGGCCTCCAGCTGTGAGGAAGGGTGACCCAATTGGTATTCGATGGCTCATTTTGATCCCAACAGTGTCTGTAGAGATCAGCCTGGTCTCTGGACAATTTGTAAAATTCCGTGTGTGTCACAGGCCAGCCCTGGGAAAGCCTGAACCAGCCTGTCAGCTTAGGGGCAGCCCTTCCATCACATCAGATCCTCCCTGCCACCCCTGGCTTCCAGAGTACCCTGAGATCATGCTCCTTAGGTTAAGTGCACTGCTGGCCAGGTTT